GTGGCGTGGAAGTCGGGAACTCGACGAAGCGATCGGACCTTCACGACGTGATTTGGTAGGGCCTTGTCCTTCAGCACGCCCAAGGAAAACGTACTGTAATTCCGAGGTTGCAAAGGTAAGCATGACGCGGCGACCCCACAATATGCCAGAACTCGTATACCCCTCATGCGACTGGTTTGACACTGACCTACATATTTTCCCAATATGTTAGGACGTTGCTGGTGTAATTTCCTACCATGGCACGCGCGGCCTTCTCACCTAAACCCCCTGGAACACGCGTTATAGCCATCAAACTCAAGAAAGGATTTTACCCGCGCAGCACGAAACATCCTGTCAGTGTACAAAACGCTTATAAACCATACGTGCCATACAGCAGATGATGCGCATCGCCAGACACATCGGTTGCACAGCCTTTCGAGCTCTGCCCGACCCCAGCGGCTGCTTCGACGACCAGGTTCAAAATGCAGGCGCGGCGGATGTGACCACAGCTTGGCGAATACAGCAAGGAAGGACGAGAACACAGGAAGCAAAGAAGAGCTCAAAAGAGAACGAACGACCGAACGAAGCAGCCGCCACCGGGAAGCCGGCGTGTCTGCCAGGGAGGCTGGCGCGCTAGTCGCACGCAGGCTTTCTACGAAGGCCACTCGATGTGGGATCGGGCCAAAAACAATTCGAATATGAATGAAACGTTTGCGCGAAGCGTCGTGCGTTCATCGCCAAGCGTGCTGCGCAACACTGATCTCGTTCTCCTGCCAACCAAAAAATCTCACTCGATGCCGCGTGTGCCCGCGAAATCTCCAGCCAGCGTGCTCTTTGCCTATGGCACCCGCTCCTCTTGCCATGATCTGAAACGGCCTGGCCGCAAGCGAATCGGCCCCCACTTCTCCTCGGCCCCCACTTCTCCTCCTCCTCCTCCTCCTTCTCCTTCTCCTCCTCCTCCTCCTCTGATCCTCGGGGGAGGAGGAGGAGGTTGTTCGTCCCGCCAGGCGTGGCCCCTCCATCGAGCCATTCGCTTGATCCACCGCTTGTCTGGCATATGGACAAGACCCCTGGCCCACCTCGGCGTTGCCCTGACAGACCGCCCCATCCAGCTCAGAGGAGAAAGGGGGACAGCTCCAGCCTTGGACGACGAGGGAGGAGGAGGAGGAAGAGGAGGAGGAGGAGGAGGAGGAGGAGGAGGAGGAGGAGGAGGAGGAGGAGGAGGAGGAGGAAGACGCTTCTGAATTACAAATGCCCCCTTGGGAATCGATCGGGGGGTCGACTGGAGAAGCGCAGGGCGCCCCACCGCGGGGGACCCTCCCGTGCGCGCGCCTCCCCAGGCGACCTCAAGACGTCACCAAGTCCTCCCACGGCGCGCCTGCCCCACAGCTCGGCCTCGCCTGTGCATCAGCCTGCCAGACCGCGCCCGTCCATGGGACCTCGGAGGCGACACACAGAAAACGGGTCTGACACACTTCCGCTAATGCGCCTGCTGAAGCCAAGGTCATTCGGGGATGGACAGACCCCCCTTTAGTAAAACGTGGTTTAGCGAAAACGACCCGAGGCCCAAACCTGGCGGGCGCAAGCCTGGAAAACAACGGCCACGGCGCCCTCTCGAGAACCGAAAACGGACAATCCACTAGTCGAGGTGTCACTGTTGGGGTTTCTGCCCACCCCCGAGTTATAGCGGACTGCGTCCGGCGCTGATGAGCCTTCTTCGAGTGTCCCTTGGCCCCTTGACTTGTGGGGAAAGGAGGGGGAGGAGGAGGAAGAGAAAAAGGAGGAGGAGGAGGAGGAGGCGGAGGAGGCGGGAAAGTAGGAGGAGAAGGAGGAGAAAGAGGAGGGGGGAAGGAGAAGGAAAAAGAATGGGGAGGGGAGGAGGAGGAGGAGGAGGAGGAGTAGAAGGAGGAGGCCTTCGAAAGGATCGCACTCGAAGTGTTGCCCCTCGGGCGAAACAGCGTGGCCACGAAACTGGCCGCGGAGCTGCACGGCGGCTCCCGCCCCAAGAGCGGAGGCGATAGAATCGTTCCGCACAGCCCACGCTGTGAGCCTGGAGAGGTCCTCCCATGTTTGCTGATTCAGCGGTTGCCGACGTCTCCTTGGCAACAAGGTATCCCTAACTTTTCCGGGGAAGCGCCATTTGGCCCCAACGCCTCTGCAAGATGCCTGCAGCATTTTCCTGGAGCGCGGCCCAACGCCATTTGCGCGAAGTAAGAGAGGGACGACGCCTGCGCGATGTCAGCCAACGCCTTGAAGCCAGCCTCTCTGCAATTCCGAATGATCGCGACGCTGGATTGCCGCAGAAGCGTGATGAACATGCCGTCCACCCAGCGCAGAAGCTAGCCAAGTAGCCCTTGCGGCCCATAAATCCACCCAAATGATAGAACCGCATCTGGGAGCACCCGTTGTCGTTCGCATGTGTCCGGGTGGTACACGCGCTCCCCTGTGGATGCAGGACGCTGGCAAAAATGTACAGTGCATTGCCGAACTGTCTTGCACCTCAGTTCCCATATCGGAAGTCACCGATCCCACGAGACCCCAAAAAGTGAGGCCCGTTCATTATGAACGACAAACCCATTCAGACTGGGATGTTGGCTACCAGAGAAGAGAGCACGCCTGGCAAAAGAAACTGGTAACAAATCCATCCGCACGATTGCATTCTGGCGCAATCGACGCTCCTCGCAAACATGTCGACGCCGTTCCGCTGTGGAGAGCAATCAATGCAAAGAAATAAACTTGCAAACGCCATGTTCTACCAACCCATGTCGCAATACCAACACACACGCAACATCTAATCTCCAACGCCCAATCCGGAACACGTCATAAATACTTGTCAAAATTTCACGGGCCAGCTTGTGATTCTCATCCTGGCCATGCCGAGTCAGCGCTCTCGCCCGCGCCTTCTCGGAAATTCCAGCCAGACGCAAAGCTTTCAGTTACAGCGTAGCATCGAGATAATGAAAAACAGAAAAACATTACACTATAGGCCCTCCATTCGTCGAGTTTCGCGGAAATGCCATGTTGCTTCCTTCCGAACCATCACCTGGCGCACGTTGAACGCCTACTGGCGACATCGCTTGAAAACCCCATTGACAAAACGTGGTGATAAATCACCGGCCCGTTGCAAGAGGTAGGGGTGCTAAGGATGGCCAGCCTGAAACAATGCGTTCATCAAGCTGCTTGCCTACATACATCGCTTGGCAGCTCTGCGCGACAGGATGATATTCAAGGTGCTCGCACCAAGGCTTAAAGACGCTATCAATGGCATTGTACACCTGCTCCTTGCTAGCGAACTCCAGCATGTTCTGTCAGCCGCTGGGAACACGTACTTCGTTTACCAGGTTGGCAACATTTGTACATCGATCTCAAACTGCTTCCAGAAAGGCTTCAAAACGAAGACCCCCCCAACAGAATCACCGATCAGCGCTTGGTAAACTCATCACTGTTCCTGCTTTTCCGGATGATATCCACAACCGCAATGGCACGCAAGATCTCCCACACACCGAGTGCGATCGAAATCAGACCAATATCGTGCCATGCTGCCTGCGGGCTGCCGTGCACTGCATCACCTTTGACTGAACCCGTCGAACACAAACTTTACAACGCAGCCTGGCCGAACTTCTCCAGTTGCTCAGGAGATGCCCGCTGCGAGAGCTCAAGGGGGCACCGCTGTCGCATCGCCGTCGACCAAGGCACTGCCGGCCTCAACGGGCCCGTTCGGTTACTCGCGGTCCCAAGAAATAACGTCCATGCCAGAGCTAAACCACGGAACCATTTTAAAAAAGTAATACGGGACAGAAATGTCGGACCCCCTGGGCACAACGCACATGTGAGTTATTGTCATATATGGGTTGGTCCTCAATGCCTAGCCCACACTTGTAATATAGCTTGTGCTGGCCATGCGTGTTGAACTACACCCGATGTGAAATGATGCACGCCGTTGACGTATGACAGGGAAACGTCACAGCACGCGGGTGCATTGTTGAAGTCAGAGAGGTTATGCCATGAGGAACCAAAACCCAATCGAAGCCAGAGCTATAGTCTACAATTTCCAACGCAAGTTTCGTAATCGTGTGGTTGGGGCCCTGTCGCAGTTGTGAGCTTCCTGGTTGGGATTCCGCGTAGCAGCCTTACAGAAGAAGGCTCTGCCACCGAACTTGGCGCAACTGTTGGTACCTGGCTCCAGAAGATGTCGAGCAAAGATGGAGCCATCTGGGGGGCTGAGTGTCCCAGAACTGGTTCCAGCCAGCAGAATGAGGGGGGGAAGCGGCCCCCTCGTCGCCATGGCTGGAAGCGGCTCGAAAAAACTGATCTTCGACCACGGGAGCGGTCTAAAGACCGCTTTCGAAGGATTGGCTCTCGCCCCCCCTCCCTCTTGACCGATACTCTCAGGGCCCATCCGTCGCAGACCTCCCGGACGCTTCCGACATTATCTTTTAGACCCGAACCTCGGCGGCCACGAAAGTAGAGGAACAACCAACTGCATAAGCATGAGGTTTCGGAGGTCTGAGCAGATGTCTTGGATCGGCGTCTTTTCTTCTTCGAGGATCGCCCAACAGAAACGCGGTCCCCAGAAGTCCCGACCTTTCCCCAGGGCCGACCTGCCCTTCATCCCGAAGCGTTCATGTTGGCGGTCCTGGGGCCTGGCGAGGGCCCCCACACGGCGAAACCGTTGCAAACACATCCCGCCGTGCTTTTGTGCATGACGCCAGCATGCCTGTGCTACTCGGGAGCGGCCAAGAGGGGGGTGTCCAAGAGGGGTGGGTGCAAATCATGACCGGCGGCATGTGCGCGGCCCAGCGGGGGGGCCAGGGACGTAATGAAATAAGAAGGGGCGCCATGAAATCTGAGGAAATATCATGGCCCCCGCCATGATATCCACCCACCCCTAGTCATCACCCCCCTCTTTTCCGCCCCCGAGCTACATGCTTGCGTGCGCCCCCTGCCCTCAACAAGCTCTGCAACGATACGCGCTCGCAGGCATGCGCGCTGGCACGCCGCGGCAGCGAAAAGAGGG